CAAAAGACTATTTTTATAATTGTTAGAATTTTTAAAAAGATGGTAGGTCCTAAACCAAGCCATTAACCATAGTCCCAAAATTATAATGACCTATAATGATGTAAGGCAAGAAAAAATAGTCTGTGCAAAAATTACTTAGAATGGACAAATGTATTTTTTTGAGAAATGTATGTGTTTTTAAAAGCTCTTTGGTAGTAAATTAGAGGCATAACAGGTACAAATTTGGAGACACAGACTCCATTGGATTTCTACAGAGGCTGAATTTCTATAGTCAATCAACTGAACTTACATATGGATTTAACAATAATACCTCATGGTGTGGTAAGAGGAATCCGTGCCTTTAGCCTGAATGTCACAAGACATCAGTCCTCATCACTGGCACAGCATGGCTCATTACCAAAACATCTTTTAACTAACAGCATACAGGCCTTAGGGTAAAACTTTTCCACATTTTCCAAAACAAAAGTAAGTGCCACAGTGTGCCACAGAGCCTAGGGGTCCTGTTACTGCTCACTAGAAATGGACGGGGCCTTGGGGAGAGTGGAAGATTCATGTGGTAGAAGAGTCTTCTGTTCACACTTCATGGACACAACACTTTATGGTATAAAAAAGGACCATTTTCATATACTGTTAATTATCTCCTCTCTTGTTGCTTTTTCTGTGGTGGTTTGTGATTTGGGGGAACTTTTGAGGGCTTATGATTGGTCTTAAGAGTCCTGTTTTGGGCCCTATAGGATGGGCTTTGCCCAAACCTTGATGAGACAGATTAGAGCTCAAGAAAAACTTCATTTCAAGCACAGATTTAGGGGCAGGGGAGGGTTCGTTTAAGTGAAAAGAATGGTGTTTGGAAACTTTAGATTAAAAATATTGAGAACTACTGAACCTAAACTACTGAAAAAGACATCTGCACTGTTTTAAAAGGTTTACAGTTCTAAAAAAATCGGAAGTTGTATTACTGTTTGAGTTAAGTTTCTGTTTTCATTTTATTTGTATCCATTAAAAAAGTAAGTCTTGAAAGAGATTCTCATAGCATGTTAGTCAGATTTTCAAAGATCTAAATATGATATTTCAAAATACAAATTTACAAACTCAGATTTGTGCATTTCCATGCCACCTAGACGATCACATAAATTTCAGGGCTGCTTATCAAGCACAAGAATTGAAAACTTGCGCTAAATTCAGAATGTGCAAAGAAGTAAATACCCACTGGGAAAAAAAATTCTGATTTACAGGGTGGCCCATTTAAAACAGTTCCCATTTAATAATGTGGCTGTGTACAGGGCCTCTTTTAAATGGGCCACCCTGTATGAAGCTTAGGTCCAAGATAAAAAATGTCCTCCCTTGAGAATTTTTAAAAACCAAAAACACTGTAGGTTTAGTGGTTATTTTTAAGGTTGAGATGGTTTCTTTGGACTCCCTTAGAACTGAAAAAAGATGGATACACATTTAAAAAATGAAATGTTACAACCACACATCTGTAATGAGAACCAGTGCCAGTGGATATTTTTAAAGCAAATTAAAACGGCCAATTTTTTTTAAACTTAGGCAAACAGCTGCTATACACACAGTGCACAGTAACTACTTTTTAGCAAAAGTTCAGAAGGAATTTCCTAATGAAGATTTATAGGATGTTCTGAGATTAATAATTAAAGGTTCCCCAAAAAAGATATGAATGATAGCATCAGAGATATGTGGGATAAGGGTAGTGGACATGCCTGTCCTCTAAGGAAGGGTCCCGGAATTTACCATAAAAGACACACAGCAGTTACCACAAAGGGAAGTTAGGAAGAAATAGGCATAGCAAAGCTTCACTGTGCATCTTTTCCATACTGGCTTCAAAGTGTTTTGTATGATGCCACACTGATTTCTAATGTTTAAACACCTCTGCAAATTAAATCCTTGTTTAAAGGAGGTAGGAGAGACTGGAGAGAAAAAGAAAAAAGCTTGCCCTAAAAAAGAAAATATGCTAATGAAAAGATCATGGCCTCCAAAACTCCTCTACCTGACTGGAATGTGCTCCTTCCAGAATCAATATTAATAATAAAAATAGTAACAACTGCAACTACATCTTTCTCTGCGCCAAGTGCTCTTCCTGCACACTTGACATCATCAAACTATTTAATTTCCACAACAGAACTGAGTTAGGTACCATTAGCTCCATTTTCTCCCATTTAAGAAAAAGAAAGGACTAAAAGACTGATTTGCCTAAGGTCATCTACATAGTAAAGTTATCTGTTGCAGATCCAAGTAAGACTCCAGCTCCATAGTGAGTACTAGACTCCTATGTGTTAGGCTACTCTCCAGCTTCAAAAAGAAGAAAAAAAGCATGTAGATCCCTGACAGGACCATTTGGTAGGGGTTGGATTCAGAATGTACCTGATCCATTTTCTTATAAAAGAAGTAGCCACACTCAGCCTCTTCTTCATCAGAGGTACAGCAGGCCCTGCATGCCAGAGGCTCAGATCACCAAGGATCAAAAATATTTTAAAAGAGAAAGAGAAAACTGTGTACTGAACATGTACAGACTTTTTTCATCATTCCCTAAAGAATATGCCATATTATTAATTAGCATTCATATCACATGAGTTATTGTAGGCAATCCAGAGATGACTAAAAGTAAAATGACGTGTACATAGATTGTGGGCAAACACTATGCTCATTTTTCATAAGGGACTTATGCAGATTTTGGTAACCCTGGGAATCCTAGAAATAATCCCTCGACAGATACTAAAGGATGATTCCAACACATTGACTCAACACATCTACTAAGCAGCACTTTGGAACAAGAAAGCAATGAACATCAATACTCAGGTAATAACTGGGACCAATGCTGAACCTAAAGGTACGAATTTCTTGGCAAGCCAGCAGATTATGAAGCAAACCAACAAATAGCTCTGTTCTACAGAGTATTACCTGAATCTGTTTGCTTGGAAAACAAAGAACAGGAAGTTGGCTAGAGGTAAGATGCACAGAATCACAAAAGATAAAGCAAGTTCAAGCAAAGTGTCGTAAGTAATCAAAAGCCACATGACTAAAAAAAAAACAAAGGAAACGGAGAGAGAATATAGCAACAGAGAAGAAAGCCATAGCAAATACAAGGAGAATGAGAAAGGACGATATGAAGCAGTGAGCTGCTACTGAGTGTGTGTAACAGTACTGTACTAACTTTCAATTAATATTTTTCTGAAGACCAATAATGTTCAGTACTTTTCCACATGATTATTGGCAAGTTGCCTTCCCATAAAAAGTGCCAATTGAAGTCTTTGGTGACTTTTAGGGTTTACTGACTTTTACTGCTGAACTGTAATACTTTTGTATATGACACACAAACACACTTTCTGGTTACAAATCCTTTGTCACAAGTACTAAAAACTTCCTGGTGATTTTTAAAATTGTTTTCTTTGATTATTATTTTTTATATAGGAATTATGAATAAGGTCAATTTTACATTCTCCTTTTCCACTGGAATGCTTCTCTTTCACTGTCCTGCCCTCTTGCTCCATGTAGACTTCCCACAGTGTATGGAACAGAGTGGAAAGAACAAACATCATGCTTTATTCTCAATCTTTCAAGAAAACATTGTCTTTAAGGTTCATCCATGATGCATAAATTGTTATCAGCATACTATTCCCTTTTTTTGACAAATAGTCCACCAGATGCATATGACACATTTGGACCTTAAGGTGTTTTCCTCTTTTTAAGTCTTGTGAATAATGCTGTAGTAAACATTTATACACAAGTATATTCCTGTCCTTTCTAGGCCACAGTTCTATAGCTACTGGAATGATGGATCCATGAGTATATACTTTCCTTGTATTTTTACTGTACACCCTCATCATCTGAGGTAATCTGAGGATGCCCCTTATCGCTTGAACTGCCAAAAGCCTTACTAGTGGCAATATCTTTGAAAATAGTTGTAAGTACTAAGAAAAAACAATGGACCAACAATCAAGCCTCTGAAGTGTGTTCTCTAAGCTACTGCTCCCATCTCTATTATCCTAATTATGTTACTCCTTCTGCAAGGCCCTAACTATACTTCTCTGTAACTTAAGGATATTGGAATAAGTCATACTGAACTTTCTATTACATTTTACAGTATTATGATTTGAAATTCACCTCTTGCACTAGCAATCCCAGCACTCTAGGAGGCTGAAGGAGGATGATCCCAAGGTTGAGCTTACCTAAGGGACTTAGAGATACCATGTCTCAAAATAAAAAACTAAAAAGAGCTGGAGATATAGCTCAATACAAAGGCCCAGAGTTCAATCCCCAATATCAAGATAGATAGTGTCTCACCCTTTTTGATAGTGTTTTTCAAAAAAGACAGCGAAAAGAAAAACTTGATTCCTTTATATTGTGCCTGATTCAAGCATAATTCATAAAGTCTACAATAAATTAGGAATTTATTCTTTCTCTAATTATATATTATTCGGGAGTCAGCATAACAGTTATTTTCAAGCCTATATTTAGCCACTCTACTTCAAATACACATGGATATCTAATAACATGGTCAAAATAAAACATGCATATTAATATCTTAAATGTCAGTTCTTATAAAAGAAGTCATTAAAATCAGCTTGTTACATATAAGCCCAAACCTCAAATAATTCTTTACATTTCAGAGCTTTTTTGCTTTTTCAAAAAGTTATCCTTGAAAGTAAGAAAGCTAAGCATTTGAGTCATAAAACTAAAATGGAACAAATGAATAGAGTATTCAAATAATCACTACGCTCTGGTTTCAAGAATCAGTGAAACACAAAACACATTTGGAAATAACCTGGTTTTCTAATAATTATACTAAATTTTAACTACACTGAAATATCCAATTCAAATGTTATTTTGATATTATTTCTGCTTGTTATATGAGGAAACCAACAGATTATCTCGTAATTTCTTATTACTCTTATTTACTTTATTATCTTTTTGAGTCTATATTTGCTAATAATAATATATTTCTTTTACTAGAAAATATTAACATTTAACAAAGCATGTTCACTCACCTTGTGGTATTTCTCACTAGCTTTCTGAGAGAAGAGCGTCTTTTTATTTTTTCAGGTGTGGTAATTTAAGCTCGGGGAAATAAGTGACTTGGCCAGGATAATTTGCCTAATAAGAATCAAAACAAGAAAAATGGTCTTTCTACTACTATTTCCAATTGGATTTTATTAAAAAATGAGTAACAATTACTTAATTGCCTAAGCCTTAGTTTTCTCTTTTAAAAAAACTAACCAACTATCCAAGTTCAGACTGCACTGGAACTTGCAGAAGGCTCCATAAAAACAAACTTCCACCATTACAACAAATGCTCACTGTCTCAGGACAAACAATACTGAGAAAAACATTAATTTTTATTTTTAAAATGCCTACTGTTCAAAATGTTACATTTTAGATGGTTTAAGTCAATTAATTGCCTTTCCAAATACTTGCCATAGGTGACACAGATGAAATTTTCGAAAACATTCTTGGAAATTCACTGTGGTACCCACACTTGGGAGAAAATTACCAAAAATGAAATATAAACCAGTATTTAAGACCCTGTATGACAACAATATGGATTATACAACTATTAATCTCCAGACGGATTAAAAAATACTTAGGGCATAGAATTCAGTAGCTTCTAAATAACAGAATAAACTCTTCTCTGTGACAGACATGCAAAAAGAAACAGCAGTAGTAGTAAAGCCCTTTTACTCCAGAAAGCACATGCATGAGGACTATAGGAAGTGCAGCAGGAATGCAGGTCAGGGAACTTATGCCCAAAGTTGTAAGCATCCAGGAAGGTTCTTATGTCTATTTCAGGTGGGGCAAGCCAGACGGGGCAGGAATTTTGCCAGATGCAGCAAAGCCACCCAACCCTCATGAACACCCACAGACAGCTCTGGAGTCCAATCTGAGAACCCAAGAGGCCACAGAGAGCACAAAGGATGGCAGAGAGTGTTGTGATAGGTAGGGCTGGAGGCAGTCTAGGTCGCCTCTGCCCACATTAATTTGGTAGGAACTCAATGACACGGACCACCCTAAAATGAGGGAATTGTAGGAAACAGGTGTGTGCTAAAGAGGAAAATAAAAATGGTTTAGTGCATAGATGGCTTTGTTTGACATCATTTTCATAAATATTGTTAAAAAACAGATAATAAAATTCAATATCCATTCCAGATTTTAGAAAAACCTTCTTTAACTCAGTACATACTCAGAATCACACAGCTATCACAGTATTCAACAATGAATACAAAGGAACATTTCCATTAAAATTCAGAGTAAGACATGAATTCTTGTCATTAGTACTTCTTACTTACCACTGCCAGAAGTCCTAATAAAAGATGACCATGATAAAAAGTCAGAAAGTCAGAAAATGAATCAATACATGCCTATCACAAATTATTCTACCTTAAGAGACAAAAAATATGAATCTAATGACCAGAATCACTAGTAATACTTTTAAAAACAAGATTAGGAAGGAAGCCAGATAAATAACCAAAAAGCAAACCTTTCTTACTTAGCAATAATAACCAATTAGAAATTACATAGAAAAAAAATCTCATTTAGAACAGCAACTAGCAACCAAATCATATTTAGTATGTAAAGCTTTTTTTAGGTTGCTTTTGGAGGTTGGTTTGTTGGTTGGTTAGTTTTTGTTGAGATAGGGTCTTGCTATGTAGCTTAAAAGCTGGCCTCAACTCACTGTGTTGCCCAGGTTGGTCTTGCACTTGTAGCATATCTTTCTGCTTCAGTCTCCTGAATGCTGGGATTACAAGAAATGTGACACTTTGCCCAGCTATGTAAAGCATTTTTGATGGCTATTCCAACTGTGTCACATATTGACTGATACACAGTAGGGTTCAACACATATTTGCCTCAGAAATGATCAAAACAAAATATGGCAATAAAACCACTGATATACAAGCTGAATGCAAGGCTTAAGTCAAGAAGAAAAGAGTGTATTAGTCAATTAGTGGTACTATAAAATGGACGAGCAATTGGCAAGGATGGAGGGGCTAACTCATGTTATACATAAAAATATCTGAAAGTTGGTAAAAAGGACCTAAATGGCTTTGTAAAAATAAGAAAAATTTCTATTACTGTCAGTGCCTTACTATTAACTACAGTAATCTCAAGTATAAAAAGTATTATTCCCAAGAAGAAATGTGAATAAAGAAAAACAAATAAACTACACTTGTTAACTACTATTTCATTATAATTACAGAGAACAGACATTTCAACCTGGGCGACAATGTTGAATTTATTTTTCCTGAACCAGGTAATGGCAATTTCAAATTCACTCTATGATAGGCTCTCTGCATTCTCTGAAGACAGCCCAAACTGAAGGGGAGGCAGTTTTGCTTCCTTACACTATTAATAAATCTCTCATAAGTCCTGATACATTAGATGGGCTGACACAAAACAATAATGCCTCTTTCAGCTCTATTTCCTAATGGTAAAAAAGGTTTAACACTGGGTCTATAGCCAATTGCTGGTCTAGAAATTCACAGAACCATAACAACAGAAATGATCTAGTTCAATCTTCAAAAAAGGATACTAAATGATATTATCATCCCTTTACAAAAAAAGAATTAAGAACTCCGGAGGTCACATGATTTATCCAAGAATACAAAGATTATAACAGTTAAATCTTGGTCTGAGCCCACATCCTAACCTCTAACCAGTACAAATACTGCCTCCCATGAATAGATACAACCTACATAACGAAGGTGTGAAGGAGACCAAAATTAACATCTGTGATCGTTGCCTTGCTTATTTTCTGCTCAATCCTACTTAACTGCCTTATCTGTCAGGACAAACTCAAATTGAAGAGTTAGTATCAAAGTTTTGAACCTGAGTACTCAAGGACGCTAAACAAAATTCTTTTTTTCTTGCTAATACTCTTTCCTGCTTGTTCAAATCTCTAGCCTAGATGTTTACTTCCCTGTATTCTTATCTTCAAAATATGCTTTGGAATATGAAGTAATGGAGTCCCTTTCTTCCCCAGGGGAACTGTCCTTTCAAATACAAAATATTCAGGATGATGATTACAGTCAAGCAAACCTGAGCTTCTGATTCTTTCATATTTGAATAATTTAAGTTTGAAAGTAAGCTACATTAGATATTAAGTTAAAATACTAAGGGAGTTCTATTCCTGCTAAATAGGAAGGCAACAAATCCTCTGCCATTCCCCTCAAAATATAAAGCTAGACAAAAACTGTCAAAACTAACTATTTCAGCATTCAACTAACCATAGGCTTACAGCAAACTGAGAAGTGGTTATCCATCAAAACCACTGAATGCTGGGTCAGAACATGAATCTGTGTGGTTTCTTCTCAGTCTGCATCAGGGTGAAGCTCTGAGTATAGCAGTTCTACCAGGCCAAGGCTGGGTATGATATCTGGAAAGTTTGTAATGCTGCCAAAGAAGAGCTGACTTGACTTAATCGACTGTCAATTTAAGTGGTAAGATCAGAGTCATGTGAACAGAAGGCCAAGGCCAGCACTAATGTGGAAAATGGCCCTTTTTAAGGCAATGCTGGGGCCAAATGTTTGCATCCTCCTAAAATTAACATGCTGAATTGTGCTTACCCAACAGGAAGGAATTAGGAATGAGGGCCTTTGGAAGTTAATTAATTCATGAGAGCTATGTCCTCATGAAAACAATCCAAGTTCTCTGGACCCTTCTGTCATGTGAGGTTACAGCAAGATGGTAGTCCACAACCGAAAACCAGACCTTCACAACCTATCATGCTGTCACCCCGATCTTAGACTTCTGGACCTAAACAGTAGTTCCAGGAGATGGGGCTAGACAACATCGCCTAACACCCCACGATGGGAGATACACACATAACAGAGACCAGAATGGGCATGTGCTCAGCCAGAAGAACCTGAGCTTGCACACAAGGCTGCAAGACAGCCTCGTGGAACAGAACTGCCAATGAAAACTTGCAACCAGTGTGAACACCAAATGCACCCATGACCATACACAGAAACATGAGCAGAGAGGAAGACCATACTGATTCAGACCATTTCAGTATAATGTCTGACCAGTTACTGACTAAACACCAAGTTATACAGAAACAGAGGACATATCTAGAAAGCCAACCTGAAAAATAGAGACCAAAAATAAAAAAAAACTAAACAGAGACATCAGGGGATGTACCATCTGAATGACATGCTCAGTCCAAACAATTACCAAACACACAAAACACACAAAACAAGAATAATCGTCTGGAAGAGGGAAAAAAAATCCATAGCTCCAACAAAATATTATCTTAAAAGTCCAGAATTCTGTGAGAAAAACTATAAGACATACAAAAAACAGGAAAGTATAACTTAGTTAAAAATGAGTCACAATCACCTCGAATATCACCATATAATGAAGTCAATAAAGACTTCAAGCAGCTATTAAAAATGTTTTAAAAAATAAAGAAACTAACATTTAAAGAATAGTAATTATGATCTACTGAATGGAATAAAGACATTATTTTTCTAAAAGATGAAATTCAAGAGTTCAAAAGGATAGTAACTAGAATGAAAAATTCACCACAGGAGCTCTTGATAGCAGAATTCATCTGTCAAAAGAATCACTGAATCGGTACACAGAACTGTAGAAATTATTAATTCTGAAAAAGAGGGGAATGAGTTTAAAAAGAAATCACCAGACCCTCTGAGAACATTAAGTACATCCATACATGTATAATACCATCAAAGGAGGAGAGAGAAAACAAGGAAGTAAAAAGTAACCAAGTGCAAAGTCGGTTGTGTAAAGTGAAAAAAAAAAAAACAAAAAACAAAAAAACTCATGCCTAGATTATATGCTGAAGAGAAAACATTAAAAGCAGCAAAAGAAAAATGATTCACCTCAAAGGAGGAAATCACAATAAGATGAAATGCCTTCTCATTTTAAAACAAAGAAGGCAAGAAACTATAGAATGTGTTCAAAGTGCTAAAGGAAAAATCTCAACCCAGAATCTCCATCTAACAAACCACTTTTAAAGATGAAGGGATAAACAAAAATAAGAGACAGATTGCTAGCGTATCTCCTGCATAAAAATTACTAAGGTTAAGTATTTTAATTTGAAAGGAAATGACTTGACAAGGTTATCTCAAATCCAGCAAAAG